TTATGGGTATTTTTATACAAAGGAAATTTTTTTGTGCCTGTTGAAAATTAAAGTTTACTGACATAGCCATAAAAAATGTTGCTTTATTTATCTGACCATATTGGAATGTATTTGTTAGGTTTTCAGTCAATTAAATTTGGTTCAATAAACAATATGTGGTCATTTTTAAAATTTTCAATGAACATTCGATCAGTCCGGCCCTCGGCTTGCAGCAAAATTTTTTATCTGGCCCTCCGTCCATTTGACTTTGACACCCCTGATTTAGAGTGTTCCATTAACCTGCCATGCATGTTTCTGGAATGTGGGAGGAAACCGGAGAACCCGATGAAAACTCACGGACGCACGGGGAGAATATGCAAACTCCACATAGGGAGGCCAGAGCCAGAATTGAACCTCGCACCTCTGCACTGTGAGTTCGACGTGCTCACCACTGGACCACCGGGCCACTCTCACTGATAAATACTTTCAATAAAAATCTTCCTTAACAAGTATGCAGGCGGTATTGTGGGTACGTAAATTAAACACATGGCTTAGCTTTCAAAGTGTTTTAGGAGGTTAATGTGACATGTTGGGGAATACAATGCTTCCCGCCGCATAACAGACCACCTCACAGTTGTGCTATGTCCTATTACTGATTGTCAGTTTTAATTAACATACTTGCTTGCACCCCGGTACTACAAGTGACGAGGAGTCTCATCCGCACGGTGCTGCCGTGGCCTGTCACTATTGCCCATCCTGTCCCCTCCCATGCTCTCTCATGATCATCGATGACCGCTGGGGATATATGGTTGTAGACTGAAGTTACATATGTTCTGAATTGACATACTCCCAATCATAACGTTCACCTACAGCAAAGGTCTCAAACGCCTGTCCTTGAGGGCCGCTTTCCTCCTTGCTTTCCGTCTCCCTGCTGCAACACACCTGATTCAAATGATCAGCACATCAGCAAGCTCTGCAGAGGCCTGATAACGGCCCTGATCATTTGAATCAGGTGTGTTGCAGCAGAGAGAGATGGAAAACAGGAAAGCGGCCGAGGAATGAAGTTTGAGACCCCTGACCAACAGTGACCCAAGGGAGAGCATCCATTGCCTGCCTGATTTTGAAATTGTTTCTAAATCCATTCATTTTCTAACCCGCTTATCTTCAGGAGGGTTGCAGGCATGCTGGAGGCAATCGCAGGGCACACATAGATGAACAACCATCCGCCCTCAAAATCACACCTAGGGACAATTTAGAGCACGAGTGTCAAAGTCAAGGCTCGGGGGCCAGATCTGGCCCGCCACATCATTTTATGTGGCCCGCGAAAGCACATCAAGCATGTCAAGTGATGATTGCTAAAGCCTGAACCAAAATTTAAAATTGTCGTCTGTAATTCACAATAACAGTCATTATTCTTGACTTCTGATTTTAAAACTAGTTATTGATCAATTTGTTGTGCACTGTTGTGTAATATGTGGAGGGGATTAAACATTTATATAGTTTCCCAAAATTCATAACGGCCCTCCAAGTGAAACCGGAAATACAATGTGGCCCGTGACAAAAATGAGTTTGACACCCCTGATTTAGAGTGTTCCATTAACCTGCCATGCATGTTTTTGGAATGTGGGAGGAAACCAGAGTACCCGGAGAAATCCCACGCAGGCACGGGGAAAACAAGCAAACACCACACAGGGAAACTGGAGCCGGAATCGAACCTGCACTGTGAGGTGGACGTGCTTATCAGTCGTCCACTGTACTGTCAGTGTTTCAAAATGTACCTGAACATCATTTTGATCTTCTGGTACAATACTCCACGCTTTATAAACTGGTATTAAGAGAAGCCAATATTAAGACATATTGTATCGCAAAACACAAACAAGTACAAACATTACTAAATATTATGATTTATTTACACTCGACATGATGGATGGATGGATGGATGGATGTTTTTGCCAAACATATTCTTCAAACAATTGATCAATCGGCCACTTATTTATAGAACATCTTTCATACCGGTACTTAAAAATATCGCAACACAGTGCTTCACAAAAAGACAACAAAACAATCCCTCCCACCAGCAAGAAGTCGCTGACCAAACAGACTAAAGGCTGCTAGTGTGAAAGCACCAATTCACAAGAAATGAGATCGTCTGCAACTATATTTGCTACAGCACTGGTGGTTGCAAACAAGATAATTGTAGTTGAAAAACTTTCCACTTTGTTTACATAATTAATTTCACAGATAATGAAATGGCTCATTTGTATGTGGGTTTTTTTTCTGTTCTTTGTTTCATCACTGAGTGTTTGTTATATTATTGTGCTTTCTATTGTGTAATATCTGATATTGGATATTGGTTATACTTTTTGCCCAATACAAAATCGTCACATAAATTTTCTACAGTCGTTCACACCATTTGTGATTTGTTTGATCCCCAATGGATATTGTGGTCAACGTCAACATTTGCTGTGGCACAGTTTCTTCAACAGCCACAGCACAGTAGTATCTACCTATTGTCTTTCGCTTACAGTAACAGGGGTTGGGTTGTGGGGGAAAAAGCTTTTGCAGCGATGCCCAGACTTCCCTCTCCCCAACCACTTCACCCAACTCTTCTGGGGGGATCCTGAGGCCCCATGAGTGCAGGTCCGGTTTTGCGTGATGGTAGTGTAGAGTACCCCAAAAAGCAGGCAGGCAGGGAGGAGCAGGGTGGAGTGACCAAAATGTATTTAACAAAAATGCAAACAGGAATACACCGGAGAAACTAACTCAAAAACTCATTCAAATAAAGTCCAGCAAAATCACAAGAAATCAAAGCAGCAAAAACCTAAGACAGAAAACAAAACATGACACGTGCACACAGCAACAATGACCCGACACTGAGTGGTCGGGCATCAAGTCTTTTAAAGTGGCAACTAATGACAATGACCAACAGGTGTGCAGCTGCAGGCGGAGCTCCCCATCAAACCCAGCCTTCAGGCCTGGTGACCCATATTCAGGCAAGGGCAAATGTTTTATGATAATCATAATGAGAATCAGAGTGGTTCTTTGTCTGGGCACTCTCCTTGAACCTGTTTGTGATGGATGATAAATGCACAGACCATCGGCGTCATTAGGCCTATTTTAGGGAGGCTTCAGCCTCCCTAAAAGTGTCTTTAGCCCCCCTAAATAATTTCATTGCATTATTTAAAAAAAGTATTATTTATTTTTCCTTTACTTTTGCTACTATATTGCATCAAATTCAATGTCATGGGGCCATTTTCAATTATATTTCGATAACCTGCCATTATTGTAATGTTGAATCTCCCAGGTTTCCTGAACGCAACAGGTGTTGCATTAGGATTTGATGTGGCGATGGTGACAGTCTGTCACCATCGCCACCTCAAATGGAGACAGTTCATTGCCGAAAGCAAG